GATACCTTGAAAGAAAGATCTGGTGATCTCCTTCTAAGCAATCACTGGAAATGCTAGGAAACATAGTTCAACTATGACACACATGGGTTGTCATGAGTCAGAATAAATTCAAAAGCAACCCTCTTTTTGTGTTTGTTATTACATTTTAAGAATATTTCTTTCAAGAGTCACCTCATACACAATTATTTAAAACAGTTTTTATAAAGCATCTAAGGAGCCCTGGTAGCATAGTGGACTATGAGGTGGATTGTTAATCACAAGGTCAGCAGTTCGAATCTACCAGTCACTCCTCAGGATAAAGATGGAGCTTTCTGCTCCTACAAAGATTTACAACCCTGGAAACACTATACAGGGTAACTATGATGCAGAACCAACTCAATAGCACACAACCATCACCATCAAACACCTGGAAAAGGTAACACCACACCCCTGAACACATTTGAAGTATAATGTTCGAACAAAGTATTTCCTGAAAACACAAGGGAAGAAAGCTAAAAGCAGGGATGAGTGAAAGAGGAGGAAAAGAGAGCAGCTAAGGTGGCGAGCAGACATAGGCAAGGTCACTGGTGGCAGAAGTCAAGCCTGACACACATCAGTTTCCCTACATTTGTCTCTGTTATTTCCTTTTGAATGTGCCAACATCATGTATCCAGAGACAAACAAAACCAAAGTTATTCTTGACATCGTTTACATGGCCAGGCGAGAAAGAGTTAAAAGCATTTCAGGAAGAAAGCATCTCCACCTCTTCTCCCTATGAAAACATACTCCTCTTGAAGCTTTTGTAGTCAACATTAGGCACATCATTCACAGTGGCCAGAGCCACATATTTATACCCACTGAAAGGTCAAGCAGCTGAATTCTACCTGGAAACTAAAATGGTCATTTACTTTCCACCAACCAACATCCCATCTCAGTCAATAGCCCTGGATATATATTTCATGTGTAATTTAGAGTTTTCTGTGAAAGCAACTCTTTAAATTTGAAGAAATGAAGGGGAAAGAAAAGTTAGAATATATCCAGTTTAAAGAAAAGCTTAAGAATTGATGCCTGTATCTACAATTCACAGAACTCAGACCATATCTTTTTGGAGTAGCTTTCCTATGAATTAAGCTTCCAGTGTGTGGTTATGTTATCTTGGTTTCACTCGAGACAAATGCCTTCGAATCTTAGTGCTTTCAGGCAGCTGTCTGAGATAACTTACTCATGATTAGATTTAAGAAAATGTACATCATTCTCTTCAACCAAGAACAATCTTCCCACTCTCTCAGGCATTGGAAGACAGATCTAGAAAGAATGGTTCATTTATTTCCATGCATCTGTGATTTTTGTTCTTAATAGTTATTGAGCATTTAGTTCAAAATCTGAACTTCTCTTTCCCAAATGACTTAGCTCCCATTTCATTTAGAGGTGGATCAAGGAGGCATTGATTGATGTCAATGGTATCCCTTACTTTCTTAAAGAGAAAGAATTGATAATTATTTAGCTAGTTGGATGGGAAAGGAGATGATATATCTTTTTATTATTTTAATTAAAGGAATTCTCAAAATACTTTGTGAGACAATCTGAGAAAAAAATAATCTGTGTTTCTTACGTCAGTTCTTACGTCATCAAAGTTCTTGGTTGCAGTGAAGAGAAACACATTCTCTGTGGTCGTAGTGGTGGTGATGTGCTGTCGAGTCAGTTGTGACACATAGGAACCCTGTATAGGGTTTCTGAGGATGTAAGTCTTTCTGAGAGCAGAAAACCTCATCTTTCTCCCGCAGAGTGACTGGTAGATTCAAACTACTGACTTTGCAATCAGTAGTCCAGCTTATAATCCACTAAGCTACCAGGGCTCCTTATGTTCCCCATAGGATTTCAGATCTACATGCTTTTCACTATCTCATTGTCTGACATTTTGCATTTACAATAGTAAAAATAAAAAAGTCTATTGTCCAAAACAATTTTGTGTATTAACAACATATGTCTGACAGTAACAAATACTGAGGTACAGGGTGAGAGTAATGCTCGCTGTAGAGGCTAAGAGTATGTGTCAACTTGACTGGGCACTCAGTGACTTTCTGTAATGATATAATCATCCTCCATTTTGTGGTCTGATGGGGACATCCTCCATTTTGCTTAAACATTGATTTCTGTACAATGACCTGGTCTTTGGAACTAATCATGTTAATAAGTGAAGAATGTGTGCATTGGATTTTGGTATACAAGCAATGTAGATAAACATGTTTCTCATCATCCTCTTATATACATACCTGTTGATTTTGTACCTGCTCATAATTTTACATTATTAAAATACTCACTAAAATCTATGCCAGGTCTACATGAGAGATCTGTTTAGAATGTTAAAGATTAGTTGAGGTGGAACCTAACCTTGTCATTATCCTACTCAGAGATTTTGGTCTGCAAAGCCTTCCTGAAAAACTTGAAAGCAAAAATAGGAAGAAGACTCATTAGTCTCTCCCTGTGACTATGAACCACCATATGCAAGGTCTTAACTTCTCTCTATTCATAGTTTGATTGTAATATAGATTCCGTTAAAGTGACTCTACATTATCCCTGAGTTACTAGAGGAGTATAATTGCTTGAAATTATTTTCTTGGACCTAAAGTGGTTGTCAATATATGAGAGGGTTTCAAAAAGTCCGTGGGAAAATTCCAGTATGTTTTAATTCCTTTTTGTTTTTTCATGTACTTTTTGAAGCCCCTTGTATATATCCAGGAAGAAGTTGAGTTCCTCTGAAAGGAATAACTTCGCATGCAGCCAACACCCTGCTTTCAAATACCTCCCACGGTTTTGCCCCATTAACCCCAGCACAACAGCTTGATGAATTAATGCTTATATGGGCACAGTTGGCAGCTTCTAATTAAATAATTATGGCTAAGCAGCTGCACGGAAGCTGTAATGCACCCTAGAAAGCCAGCTGTCAGTTTTATTGGTCCTGAGACAGAGGACAAGTTAACGCATAGCTCTGGATGTTGCCTACAAAGGGACCGTGTTTCATATGCAAGATATATGCTATACAGAATGAAGTTCCTGTGTGTTTGCGTTAGCCTATCCATGGAGAGATGGAAAGCAAACTACTCATCAGCAACATCTCAGCAACCCAGCAAAGGAAGCAGTTATGAGACCAGGAGAACAGATCACGTCCAAAGCAGTGTAAGGAGGACATAGTGTTAGACAGACTCATCTGTGATGAATGCATAAATGCCACGGAGTTGGGAGTTGAATAAATGTCAGGCTGCAGGTCTCATTCAAGTGAGCAGCTGGTTATAAATCTGACCTACTTGTGTTTGTGTCTTGCCTTCAGAATATACTTTTTATAAAACAGAGTTACATGTTCTGGGGAGAGGTATGAATGGTATGATTTTATTTATTCAACTGACACTTAAAATGCTGTGCTTTCAAATATTAGAAATAGGAGAACAATGTAAATATCACAAACCTATCATTTGAACTAGCTCCAAGACACAGTTTTCCAAAAAAGTTTGGTGAAGATATTTAGATATTTTGCTTTACAGAAGCATAGATAACTAGCAAGAGTCCTTCAAAGAAGACCAGAAAGCTGGACGCTTATCTCTACATAACTAGTAAAGTCACCAGGAAGAAGAAAGCATTATCTGACACAGAGGAAGTTATAGATTATAGATACAATCCATAGAAAGGGTTCTCAAACCAAATAATGTCTGTTATTACACATCAATATGCTACTGAACTGAAAGCTGATTCAGTTTTTCTCCATAGGCAGCCCATGTCGCTTTCCCTCTAACAGCCAGTGTGTGGTAACCCTGCTCAGAGAGCCTCAGCTTCCCACTGGCCTTTTCACTAAGGCTCTTAGCACCACCCTCAAAGGAATAAATACGCCTCTAGATGAGCATCAGACAGAAAAATGCAGCCCTACCTTTACCTTCAAAGTAGTTTAGACATTCCAACCCCATGATTTATAGATTTGCTTTAAAAAAAAAAAAATACAAGAAATCAAATGCTAACACGCTGAAAACATACTTCCTGTGGGATTCGCTTCACCCAACTCCTAGACTTGTTGGGAATCAGCAATCCCATCAAACACTTAACTGCACAGGCCGATTAATTGTGTTCCCATTGGAGAATCAATGTTTCTTTAGAATAGTGCTATTTCACAAAACTAGGCAATCTGCAGCATAAATCTTGATTTAAAACAAGTGCATGAACCTCGAAGACACCCTTACTTTAAAAGCTTAAGTATAATTGTTTCCTTTTCTTTTTTCCCCATGGTTTTCTTTTGTGTCAGTAATTTTACTACCTCAGCTGTCTGAAGGTGTTTGCTTGTGATTGACAATTCTCAAAGATATAGTTCCTTTTAAATAGATCCTAAATGAAGTTCTGTTTAATTAAGTCTGCAGTGCAACTTGTGCCACAGTACAGAATGTTAAAGATTCAAAACAGCACACTTGTGAAGCCTATAAGAGAACATTTCAGAATTTGGGGTGGGGGTGGGGGATGTTCAGCAGTCTATACTGCCATCTAGCCAAGACCACACTATTCAGGGCAGCATCCATTTGTGTTTTCAGAGGCCCTGATGAAAGCAAGTCTTTACCACCCTGCTTAATAGACCCCAAAGTTCAGCTTAAAGCAGAGATAGCAGTTCCTTTGTCCATTCTACTTTGACCAATTGCCAGTGGACCAACCATCATATTGTAAACACGGATCTTATCATCAGAATTCAAAAACTAACAAACTGACACGTGTCTGTCCCTTCATTCCATGTATTATATATACCAAAATCATTTGCACCTTGTGCTTTTGAGGCTTTTGAACAGTCTGTGTCTTCGCTGGAAAAATAAATAAAAGTTGCCTTGGGAAAAACAATGAGAGCTGATTGACAATCTCCAGTACTCAAGCTGGACCAAGAGTTAGAAAAACAAATGGCATTTCTTAGATATTGACTAAGCATGATGACCATATATATCTTTGAAGAAAATTGATACTCATGAAAAAAAATGAAAAGAACCCTTTGTACTTACGGTAGAAGACATATTCAGTGTAGCTTGACCAGATTTTGTCATCTGTATATTGATTGATGAAAGATGCTGTCACTGATGAGTTACAGGCCACCATGTGGAATCCACACTCTGACAACATATCAAAAGCCCTTTCCAGATGCTTGAATTTGAGATAAAATCTGGAGGTGTATCTTTCAGGGGCTCTGTCAGGGTCTCTGCTCTCATTCAAAGTTTCTCCAAAGACTTCCTTTGCCAAGGAAATCCTTCCACAAACCAAAATCCGGGGAACTCTCCGAAACTTGGCATCTGCTTGGCCCTCCCTACCCATGGTGCATGATCCCCTGTAGCCCACAGTAATGAAGCCCCACTTGCGGTCGGCAGGGAGCAGAGAGGAAGTGGGGCAGATCCTTGTGTCGCTTCCTTGGGAGGCATCTTCAAAATCACTATGGCAGAATTCATCTGGGCTCTGCTTGATTTCATCTGGGGTCAGGAGTTTGACCAAGTCCGGAAGCTGGAAATACTCAGCTTCCCTTTTCAGTCTTCCCCTTTCTGGAAAGTGATCAGGCAGGACCACCTGCCTGTCCCTGAGATAGTCCAGAATGTAACGGAACAAGAATCCATCTCTGTCAATGAAAAACCTTCCCTTAGAGTCTTTGGCTAGATCGTTAGCCGTGTCTCTCTTTGGGGAAAACATTTTCCACAAGAGAGAATGAGGGATGCTTATTAATGTGGAATGGCGAGTGAAATAAACTTGACCCCCCACATTCAGTTCCACCACCTCAGGGAAGGAGTTAGGAACTGCAGCTCCTTGTTCTCGAGGATAACGACCACAGTTTCCACTCATAGCCATTGCCCTTTCTTCCTCTTCTCCTATTGTAAGTTAAAGGTGCAATCCAATGGAATCACAGTCTTATCTTTTGCATCAACTTGAAAGGGAGGGAAAAGGATGCTAACTTGTAAAAGCAGCCTTTTCTTGTCCCAGTTTTTTCCCAAGAAAGCAATATGTAGAAGAGTCCACAGGTGAAATATGCTGAAAAAAGTAGCTTAAACCCTGGGCTGGTGGAGAGCTATTACTTCATGGAATATAATCAACTTATGTACATCCAATCTTCCACCAAGCTCAGAAGGCAAGACAGGCCAAGTCCCCAGTTACTCACAGGTCTATCGGAAGGAAAAAAAGAGAAAATTATTTCCTTAAATCCAGCATGAGTCAGAAAAAGAGAGATGGCTGAAGAGAGGAGAGAGAGGAAGAGGGAGGGAGGGAAGAAGGGAGGGAGGGAGGAAGGAAAGGAGGGAGGAAGAAAAGAGATTATTTTACATAAGCAGCCTTGAAACTACTGATTTCAGCCATTCTTCAACTGAATTATAGCATCTCTCTTGTTATTTTGTGTCTACATGTTTATCCATATATCTGTCTCCAGCAATTATTAATAGCAACATTCCTATTTGCAATTCTGCATTTTAAAAGCATATACAACTGTCAACTTCTAAAAGGGGATTGTTTTATCAGCTGACAGGGAAAGCAATAAGCCAAAGAGCTTACCTTAACTGAGAGCTGGAGACCCAGTTCTTGTGAAGAAATACCCATTTGCAAAGCAATTAAAATCCACAGTCACACTGAGTCTGGATCTTGTCAAATCCCAAACAGGTAAAGGACAGAGGTATCAATGAAATGTGTCAGAGAAATTTGCTCTTAGAAAACAGTAATCATGTGTGCGTGTATTTATATAATGTATGATGTAGGTATTGATATATTCACTTGCAATCTCAAGTTGAAAACAAGTCACAAAAAAGTTAAACTGTGATGAGAGGTGGTTGGGTTGAAGAAGCAAAGCAGAGAAAAATATTTAACCAAAGCTTCTCCAGGAAAGAAAAATTTTAAAAACCAAACCTTTAGAAAGGATCCTTAAAACAGAAGAGAGTTGCAAGAGGGAGGACGGAGGGACCGGGACTTAGAAGGTTTTCAGAAAGCCCAGGAACAAGAAGACAGACAGATGTGCTCTGCTGGGGTCCCAGGTAGCCACCCCACCTGCCGGCAAGGGCAAATGATTTCCCATGTTCCCAGCCAGGTGGGAGCCGGTCCACCGCAGCACAGAGGAGCCTGCGGGGGGCTCAGGACTCTGGCTTCTCAGGCGGAGGAGCTGGGTGGTTCCACAGTTCCCAGTGCAGTTCGGATGCTGTTGTTTCAGCAGTGCAGGCAAGAAACCATCCAGGGAAATGACTATTACATCATCTTAAAGGAATATGGCTTGGAGACAGCGGAGGCAGCTCGGAGTCACGTCCTCCTTGGTGACGGGTTGCCAGGACTGCACGGGGACGGGGACGGGAACGGGGACGGGGACGCAGAGCTCTGGCTGTGGGCACGCGGCTCCCAGGCGCACCGGGCTTGGGGCGGGGACACGGAGCTGCGCAGCCACTTCCCACCCCGTTCTGTCCTGTCCAGAGTCAGAGATGCTAGGGTCTCTTCTTTGCCCTTTCATTCTTGCCAGGCCCCTTCCCATCTTAATCCTCTATAAAGAGCTAAACATTTGAAAAAACGAAAAACTCTTTTCCCAAGTACTAAATATTTGCTGAAGGGCAAATTTTCCCCCTTTAAAAAAGTCACACTGAATAACTCAATGTTCAAGCCACAGAGTGGTTTTTTGTTTGTTTTTAACTGAAAATGATTAAACAATGTTCTCTTAAATAATCTCCTGTCTTGCATCCTTCTCCATCCCTCTGCTGCCTCTCTTCCTGACTTCCCAACCCAGCAAATAAGTAAACAAATAAATAAGTCTCTCTGGAATTAATGACATGTATTCAGAATGACTAGATGAGACCACAGGAAGTCTACAGTAAGACTTTAAAGCAGTAAACTCATTTTCTTAGTTTACCTGTAAGAAATTGTTACCTGCCATCTTTTTTTTTTTTTCTGGGGTTGTTTCCCTACTAAGCATCTCTTTGGACTTGCCCAACCCCCTCCTACTCATCCCAAGAGGACTTGGTGGAAGACAATGGCCTGCTAAGAGACATTTTACCCCTGTCCCAGAGGGCTCCCTTAAGTGCATCATTAGAGTTTCAGGAAGGCATTTCCAGGGCAACCTAATCCACTGACAAAGTGCTTCCAGTTGAGCCTGCCAGTCAATAATGGCCCAGCCAACAGTTTACAGTAAGCCAGCCATTTCCCCTTTAAAATCACCAGTATCTTAGGGCTCATAGTACTTCATCTATGAATAATATATATGAGGCACACTACATTCCCAAACATTTGTTATTTTAAAAAGTGAAAACCAAAACTGGAAGGGAAGCTATGAATTAGATGTGCTTTGTAGGATACACATATTGTTGCCAACTCTTGTCTCCAGAATTATCTGGAGTTTGATAGGAAGATAGACTCAGCGATAGGATAAATTAATATTGAGTTTAACTATCTTTTCTCCCATAAGCATCGGGTTACTACACACATTCAGAGTATTAACTAACATTCCAACACCTGATTATATTTGCCTTCATTTCTTTGACTAATGCATTAACCTGTTCTGGCATCAATCATTGGGATTTTAATTTTGAAATAAATGAAGGAACTTATTGCTATTTGATGCAATTATATCGCCATCTAGTGGTAATATAGTATCAGTGCAAATCTGTAGCTGACAACTTTGAAAAAACACACTTTTACCTCTAAAAGATTCTGATTAAAAGCTGCTTCCACAGGGTTTCCAAGGCTGTAAACCTTCACTGAAGGAGATTAGCACATCTTCCTCTCACAGAGAGGGTGACCATGGCCATGAAATCGAACCACTGACCTTTTGGTTAATATCTAAGAGCTTTAACCACTGCACCTCCAACGCGCCAATGCGAGATTTTTAAAAGTTGCATTTTATTTTTAAGTTTTGATAGTGATTTGAGTTTACTTGGCACACACTACTTATCATAGCAACAGAATTAACACTGGATTGCCACCAGGCCAAGGAAAAATTAAGTCTGAATCTATGCCTATTTAAGTGTTTTAAGCATAATGTTTTATTTCCTTTTATTTATAACACAATAGGCTGGTACACTAAGACAATTGGAATTGGGTACTAAAATATTCTGAGCACAGATTGGCAGAAGACATAGGAAGGGTGTCAGAGAAATAGTCATTTCAATCTAAAAGGGATTTGAGAAATCAAAGTTAACCATCCCATTTGAAAGGTAAACAGAAGACAAGAATGGGAAAATGCTTCCAGTGTGCCCAAGGTCCTGGTGTGGTGCTGTAGTGTTAAGCACAGCACCACAAGGTCAGCGATTCAAACACAGAGCCACTCTTCAGAGACCTTATATAGGGTCACTACGAGTTGGAATTTACCAGAAGGCCCTAACACAACAATGGTCATGCAATTCCTGAGTAAGCGGGGCAGGGCCTATCTAAACCACTGCGTCTTCAGAATGTTTCGTATCATTTCCATAAACATTTTTTTAAAGTTTTTATTGTGAATTGATAGTTTACATGGGAGAACATCAATTTTACATTCATTGCTTCATTGCACTGATTTCAATCCCCTCTGTGCATTCAATAGTATTTGCTTCTATTCCCTTTTTTGGAGGGAGGGGGGAATGTACACAAAAACACTCAGGAATATATAATCTTTTAAACAACCAAAGGGTACATTCTGCAGGCCTGCCTCCTGGCAGCCAGCACTCAATCTCTCTCTTTCCATGAGTCTGGAGTCCTCAGCTGCTCTATCTCTCCATGTCTGCTCTGCCTCCATCTCGGGTAGCTCTGCTTCTCTGGATTGTTGTTGTTGTTGTTAAGTGCCATAGAGTTGGTTCCAACTCATAGTGACCCTGAATAGGGTTTCTGAGGCTGTAAATCTTTACGGCAGCAGAAAGCTTCATCTCCCGTGGAGCAGGTGGTAGTTTGAGTTCATTCTTGCAGCCAATGAATTTTAAGATCCTTCTAACCTATGGGACTTATCTTCAAACATTATACAAGAAAACCTTCTGCTGGGATCAAGAGAGTTTTTATTGATCTATATTTATGCAGATTTATAAATGTATTTGATCATAAACTGTTTTCATCCACATTGACTGTCTGTAGGTTTTTGAAGGTGGTGACCAACACATAGGTCACCAGTGTATAGAGCTTGTTTGGTAAATCGTCATCCTTATGATGTTTTCTGGACAACCGCACCCAGATAAGGTACGTGACGTTCCTGATTCCTTTGGCCCAGACAGCTTTGTTGAGCCTGGTGTCCATGCGCACATCTGGTGTTCCCATCTCCTTCATGGTAAATTTCTGAATCTCCTTGAGTCCTCGAGAGGCACGCTTCTTGAAGTCTACTCCATGGATGCGCTTGTGAATGTTGATGGTGTACTCTCTGGTCATCACTTCGTTGATAGCAGAACAACCCTTCTTCTTCTCGCCACCCTTCTTTGCGGGAGCCATAACGATGGGAACAGGTTAGAAAAGAAGAGCCTTGACTCATTTTTAATCTTAGTCAGGAAGCCCTCACTGAAACCTAGTCACCTGGGTGTCCCTACAAATATCTGAAATATTAGTGGCATAGCTTCCATCATCACGGCAATATACAAGCCACCACAATGCTAGAAATTGATAGTTTATGGTTCATTTATTATAATAAACAGTTAAACCCAAACAACTATTTTGATAATCTCACTTAGACACATCTTTTTTTTAATATGCATCATAAAATAGAAATGTGAGTTTCTTTCACCTTCTGAGAGGTCAGAGGTTCCCTGAAGCCTAAAGCTCATACATATTTGGGATTCACAGATCATAGATTAACATCCCCTGATCCATACTCTTCTCTGTTCCTTTAGTCTCAGAGATGCAAACAAATGAGAACCAAAGCCATCCACCACACAGAGATTTAGATAGTGCTAGGGTAAGCTAGTGTGTCTGAGGAAGTTGTCAGCAAGCCCGGCTGTTTGGTGCCTTAACAAGAGGCAAGAAGCCAAGTCTAGGCTTAAAGTGTATCCCTGTCCTTCGTGTCAGCAGATAACACGGCTTGTGTTATTATTCTCTTCTGGCAGCTCTCCACTGAAACATTGTGGAATGGCACACACGGTCCGAAGGCTGCACAAAGCAGAGCAACAGATTTCTCTGAAGAGAAGAGTCAGTTTTTTGGGGTTTTTTTTGTAATATTCAAGCACACCATGCATAAAATGGTGAAAATTGTCTTTGCC